TCGTGTTTTTCAGGCGTGTGTCCGTTTGGCCCCGCATATCTCCCCTGTTCCTCCTTCCTCCCGCCTCCTTGTACATCCTCCTTGTGGGGGGAGCGGGAGAAGGACGAGGCGGAGGAGGAGGGAGAGAAAACGCTCCTCGTGATTTGAGTCGTTTGGGGTTTCTCGTCCTGGTGTGAGTCGTTCGGGCCCTTCTTCCTGGTGTGAGTCGTTCGGGCTCTTCGTGGTGTGAGTCGTTCGGGCTCTTCGTCCTGGTGTGAGTCGTTCGGGCTTCTCGTGGTGTGAGTTGTTCGGGCCCCTCATCCTGGTGTGAGTCGTTCGGGCCCCTCCTCCTGGTGTGACTCGTTCGGGCTCCTCGTGGTGTGAGTCGTTCGGGGCCCGCGTCGTGGTGTGAGTCGTTCGGGCTCCTCGTGGTGTGAGTCGTTCGGGCGCCTCGTCCTGGTGTGAGTCGTTCGGGCCCCTCCTTGTGGTGTGAGTCGTTCGGGCTCTTCGTGGTGTGAGTCGTTCGGGCCCCTCGTGGTGTGAGTCGTTCGGGCTCCTCGTGGGGCCTCTTGGGGGCCTCTTGGAGCCTCTTGGGGGCCTCTTGGGGGCCTCTTGGGGCCTCTTGGGGGCCTCTGGGGGCCTCTTGGGGGCCTCTTGGGGGCCTCTTGGGGGCCTTGGGGCCTCTTGGGGGCCTCTTGGGGGCCTTGGAGGCCTCTTGGGAGGCTCCTGGGGGCCTCTTGGGGCCATCTTGGGGCCTCTTGCGACCTCCTCAGAAGCGCAAAGAAGCGCTGCCCCCTGAGAAGGACAAAGTGAGCCCAAAACCTTTGTAAAATCAATGATTTTGCTATGAAGGAAGGGGAGCGCGGCCCCCTCAGAAGGCCAAAATGGGGCCAAAACCGTAGTAAAATCAATGATTTTGGCTTCACAGGAGAGGAGAGGGTTATTTCTGTGTCCCCCCGACGGGGCCAGAATCCTCGTGAGGGTCGTCGTTTTTTGGCCCTCCCAGGAGTCGAAAAAGACCCCCCTGACCACCCGCGGGACTCCCTCTCCAGGCCCAGGGGGAAAGGGTAGGGGGAGGGGGAAACCCCTCCCCGAAGGGGAAGAAGGGGGGTTGAGGACAGAGGGGGCTCGCTAAACCACTCACGCCCTAAAGGGCTGGTGGGACTACGTTGCGCGTGTGTGCGCGTGTCTGTGCCGTGGGTACTCGCCGCGGAACATGGGGGCAAAATTCGGGCAGCCCAGCGCCGACTGTTATTCGTGATTGCAAATGCGCCGCGATGCTGGTGCACTGGCGCGGCGGGCAACGGAGAGAACGGTGATGCAGCATCGGCAGAGGGCAGCGCCGACAGCCACGCGCATTCCACGCATTCGTTCGTCAGCTCATCTTCGGGCTTGCCTGTGTACATCGAGCCGTGGCGCGAGTGGGCCACGAGAACTACGCATTTAGTGAACGCATGTTTCCTCAGGCTGGCTACGAGGATTTGGTTGCAACGCGCAGTCGATGGAAATGGCGCTGGGTGCTTGAGCTGGTGCACGACATGCGCGAAGCGAGGTGGAACGCTGCGATGTGGGACCCGCCCTGCTGCGATGTAAATGCCCAGGCGCTGCTGCGACAGCCTTGGATCCGATGGTGCGACGACGTGTCATCGACAGTGCGAGGCTCTCATGCAGGTGGGGTCTGGGAAACGGCTGCCTGCGACGGCGATATGTGGAGGGATATGGGATCGATGTATGTTCGCAAAGCCAACTGATTCGTCCCGGCGCGCCCGCCGCCCCCGCTACACGGGGCGCCCCGTGGGCGACGCCGTCGCCGCTCCGGCGCGCCCCGCCTGCAGCCCAGCGCAGCGTCGAAGGAGGGCGAGAAGGACAAGACCGGGCGCTGCGGCCTGGTCATGTCTCCCTTCGCCATGGAGGCCAGGGGCCGCCTTGGCCAGGCGGCCCTTCATGCGCTGTCGGCGCATCGCCGTGAAAGCGCGGAGCTCGGGCGCCTCCGCCCAGGGGCGACGCGAGCCAGCGCCCTGGGCTTGCTGGCCGACCTGGAGACCGAGGTGGCGCGCAGCGTTGCCCAACCGACGGTGGCCGGGTTGGGGGGCGCGTCGCTCCGCGCGCTGAGCTGGGCCACCGGCGCGCAATAGTGGCGGCGGAACTGCGAGCGCTGCAAGTTATTGGAGGGAGTAGGACGCTTGGTGGATGGCGTTGGTGGCACGGAGTGCGGCCGTGCTCGCGGGGGGGAGGGGGGGTCACCGTGAGTTAGATGTGGTGGATTCCTTCGGACGTCCGGTAAGGGCCGCCCCCCCGACAGCCAGCGGGGGTGTCATCCCCGCGACCGTCGAGGAGGGAGGGAAGGAGGGGGAGCATGAGGGGGATGGGGAAGAGGAAGGGCAGGTACGCGACGCAGCAGTTCTATACGTGTACGGTAGGTTCGCGTCGTGTCGACCAGCGGCGACCCCGCCGCCGACGTTCAACGTTGAACGCCGACGGCGGCCCAGAATCGGTCGATGTTGAACGATCGGACGTTGCGGAGACGGCCGATCGTTCAAGGTTGAACGATCCAGCGCGGTGTCAGGAACCAACGCCCGGGTCGACAAGACACGGACCTGCCGTAGGATTCCTCCTTTCGTCGTCGTTTTCCCTCCTGCTCGCATGTGGGAGTTATTGTTGGAACAAGGAACTCGGCTGTTGTGCCACTTTGGCCGCTACGAAGTCGCCGTCGCCGCCCCGTCGCCGCGTCGTCGTCGCCGACCGTCGTCTGGGCCGGTGTGCCGTTCTGGCCGTTCTGTAGTCGCCTTCGCCGCCCCGTCGCCGCGTCGTCGTCGTTCGTGCGTAGTCGTCGTTCGTCGCCACCGTTGGATTGCGCAACGTAGGTTGCACAATCTAAATTGTACAACGTGGGCCACATGTCGCCCAACATATATTGCACAACATCGACTGCGCAACGTATATTGCACAACATAGCCTTCACCACATAACGATATTTGCTCCACACATATTTCTCCACATATTTCGACTGCATACACTGCGCCACATACATATCAACACGTATATTTGCTTTGCATCACATGCACAACGTAACCACATCGATTGGACGATATGGTGTACAGGTGTGGCATAACATGAATTGCACCGCGTACATTGCACCACATCTATTGCACATGCACAACATACGTGACACCACGTAGGTTGTTCCATGTAGATGTACATACATGTCCACGTAGAGTGCACAACACAGGTTGCACCACATATATTGCATCACGTAAATCGCACCAACTAGATTGCACCACACAAATTGCTTCACACATTGTTTCACATCGATTGCACAACACATATGGTACTTTATTGATCGCACCACGATTTTGATTGCATAATCAGGGTTGCGCAACATACTTTGCATCATTTATATTGCTTCACAAATAGTGCGCAACCTATTTTGCTAGAAACGCATTGCTTGGGGTCCACGCTGGCTAACATGTATCATTGCAAAGCCTGGGCCGCTCCCAGTCGTCCACGCCTTCCTGCCCGCCTCTCCTCTACCCCCCTCCTCTTTCTGCCTCGTCTTTCCCCAGCCGCTGCCATCGTCCCCGCCCCCCTCCGTTCCCCTCCTACCCCCTGGCCTCCTCCTGCTCTTCCTCCTTCTCCTCCTCCCCATCCTCTGCTGGCTATCTGCCCTTCTGGAGGCCTTCCGCCCTTCCTTGGCCTTTCCCCGACCCTTCTTGGCTGCCACCCCCTTCCGTATGTTGGCCTTCCCGCGGCTCTACTCGTTCTTTCCGCTCTCCCCGCTTCCCTCGGCTCCAGCGGCATAGCCCGGACGGCAGGCGTCTCGCAAGGGCGAGGAGAAGGGCAAGGCGGGGCGAAAGGGTGGCGTCCCTCAGCCGAAGCCCATCGACACCATGATCTTGAGCCAGCAGATCAAGACGCATTGCAAGGCTCTTCGAATTGGCCTGGCAAGCGTCGATCCAGTCCTCGGCGCCCGTCTTGCTTCCTGGATTTCGGTCTCGTTCCTCTCTCTCTCCCTCTCTCCATCTTGTGTCGTGTCGGGGGTGGACAGATACCCCAACAGTGACACGTCGATTAGTGAATTGTCCGTTTTCGGTTCTCGAGAGGGCGCCGTGGCCGTTATTTTCCAGGCTCGCACCCTCCAGGTTTGGGCCTCAGGTCGTTTTCACTAAACCACGTTTTACTAAATATGGGTCTGTCCATCCCCGATCGTGACGTATGGCGAGATGCACCCTGTGCCGCCAGCCCCCCCAGGCTGAATTGTCTTGGGGCAGCGTTCGGGCCATGTAGTGGGACTCCCGCGGCCTTGTTAGGTCATCTTGAGGCCCTCTTGGAGGCATCTGTGGGCATTCTGGGGGCCACCTTGGGGCACATTCGGCGGTCTCGACGGCGCCTTTGGCCTTCGAGGGGAACCCTGGAGGATTGTTGGGTAGTCTTGGGGAACTGTCGGAGAGATCTTGAAGTCATCTTAGGACATCCTAGGGGCAAACGAAGACCAGCACGCAGAACGTGTAACGCTTGTTGTGTAGTTGCCCTTGCTCCCCCTCGGAGGTGTGCCGCGGCCCTCTTAGCATGTTCTTGGGGCCCTCTCCAGTCGTCCGGCATTATTTGAGCAATGGGCCATTTTGTGATCTTCGTCCTTTGTTGGAGGGGCCTCGTGGACCTTCTCTTGTGATCTCTGTCCTCCTTTGGGGGGGGGCCCTTGGACCCTCTGATCTTCGTCTTTTTTTTGGGGGTGGTGGTGGCATCTTGGACCCTCTCTTGTGATCTTCGTCCTTTTTTGTTTGGGGGGGCTATCTTGTGATCTTCGTCCTTTTTTTGGGGAGCTTCCTCCTCTGGCCGTCCAGGAGGCCTCTTGGACCCCCTCTTGGCCGTCTGGGCGCTCCTCGGGGGGCATCCTTGGGCAACCTAGGGCGGTCAGGGGGCCTGAGGTTGCCACCCCAAGGCCGCTTCTTGACGCCGCGGCCGCCCCATAGACAGCACAAAGGAGAGAGGACTAGAGGGACAAGGGACAGCTGCACGCAGCAGCCGGTGCGGTCCTGTCCTCGTAGAAGACGAGCAGCACCAGCTCCCCACTGTGCGGGTGCGCGGCGGAGGTGTAGCTGACCGCGGCCGCCTGCGGGCGTCCCTGCCGACCCCTCCCGCAATCAAGACACGCGCCTCGACCCCGACCACCGATTTGGTGGAATGCTCGACGCTTGCAAAACATCATCATCGTCAAAACCGTTCAGCTGCACGCAGCCTGTGTCAGCCCTCACTACGTTGCCCGCGTCACATGGAAGGGCTTCGGGTGGGGAAGCACCCGCCGACGCGGGCGCACGATCCGAGGACCGTCGGGGCAAGCAGCAAGAGGCAGGAGGAGAGAGAGAGAGAGAGAGAGAGAGAGAGAAAGAGAGAGAGAGAGAGAGAGAGAAAAAAGAGAAAGAGAGAGAGAGAGAGAGAGAGAGAAAGAGAGAGAGAGAGAGAGATAGAGAAAATGAGAGAGAGGGAGATCTCGGCGCCAAGACACTCACGCGAGGCAGCGCTCCGGGAAGCAGGCCCACACACTCATTGCGCCGCGGCGCGGCGGAGGCGGTCCGCACTCGCGCTCCGGCGGTCCAGCCCGCGGGAGGCGCAGGTCGAGCGGCGGCGGGAGGAGGAGGAGGAGGAGGAGGAGGAGGGGGAGGAGGAGGAGGAGGAGGAGGAGGATGATTAGAAGACGGGCGAAAGCGGCCGCGGGGCAGGGCAGGAGGAGTGGGGGAGGGCGCTCACGTGGCGGGGTGCGTCGCCGCGGGGCAAGGAGGGGCTCACGCACGAGGCAGCAGTCCGGGAGGGAGGCCCGCAGCCTGGCGCGGGCCCCCAGCGGATGCGGGCGCGCGCTCGAGCTTGTGCTGCCCTGGGGAGGGTCGCCGCCGAGATGGGTGCTCCCCGCGCCCCTAGGTCGACCGCGCGGAAGGGGTGCGGGGCCGCCGCGAGGCTGGCGCGGAGGCGAGCAGCTGATCGGTCGGGCTCGAAAAGTGTCGCAGAATGAGGGGGTCTTGGGTCTGGCCGTCATTTTTCACGATGTTTTTTTTTTTTTTCGCAACGTCGGATCTCAGGGTCCGCCTGTCGGGAGGTCGAAGTGCCGGCCTGCCTGAAGTACTTCCCTCTCCCTGTGAGCGGGATCGTCTCATCTCGTTGCCGACCTCAAGGGCTCCCTCAGCTGCTGCGGGCGCATCCCTGAAACTGTCATCGCCTTTAGGCTTGTCAATCTTAGGGATAGGGATGTGGCTGGACCTGGGGCATAATAGCATCCTTCAAGAACATGACCCTCCGCCAGCCAAGCTGAAGAACATTCGAGGGTGCCCTCCCCCAGGATGCACAAGAACATCCAGCAGACACGAAGAACGTTTAGAGTACCCTCCCCGAACCGACCTCGATGTTATAACTCGGTCCGACCGTGCGCCCGAGGCCGGTTAGGTCGAGGATGCCCTCCCCCAGGATGCACCAGAACATCCAGCAAACACCAAGAACGTTTAGGGCACCCTCCCCGAACCCCCTCCCTTCCCCCCCATCTCCCCCGCGTGGCGGCGCCGGCGTGGTCTTTCAAGGCGAACAACAGCGCCGCTGCTACGATGCTTTCCGGATTTTTCCGGTGGTAGGAGGAGGAGGAGGAGGAGGAGGAGGAGGAGGAGGAGGAGGAGGAGGAGGAGGATGAGGAGGAGGAGGAGGGGAGGAGGAGGAGGAGGAGGAGGAGGAGGAGGAGGAGGAGGAGGCGTGTTCTGCATCAGGACCCGCCCTGGGCCGATCGGCCGTTGCGCTGCCCCCGAACCGACCTCGATCGTATACTTCGGTCCGGCCGTGCGCCCGAGGCCGGTTAGGGAAATGGTCAGGAGGAAAAGAAACACACGGACACAATGAATCCTCGATTCCCCCGAAAATATGGGGAAATAGGGGAAGTGGTGGGGAAGACAGACACCCAGAAACTATGGGAAACTATGGGGAATCTGTTTATCTGTGTGTATTTCTTTGCGTGTCCTGGGGCCCCTTCCAATGGTCTCGGCGCCACACGCCGCCGCTGGCAGCCCGTCGGCGTGGGGCTCCTCTTCGTCTCCGTCCGGAGGCCTAGCGCTGCCTCGACGGTGCGGTCGGACCGAGGTGTGAGGCCGAGGTCGACCCGGGGGGGGGGGGTAGCCTACGCTGGATGGGGTAATCATTGTATCAAGGGGGGGTGATTATAACCTCCCGACTGAGCTTTCCTCCTCCTCCTCCTCCTCCTCCTCCAACTCCCCCTCCTCCTCCTCTTCCTCCTCCTCCTCCTCCTCCTCCTCCTCCTCCTCCTCCTCCAACTCCCCCTCCTCCCGTGCCGACAGCACGTGCCCAACCCCCCCCCCTCAACGGATTCAAGGGGGGGTCGACTATTGTCCCGTCCAGAGCAATGTCCTTTGTGCTTGTTCTATGTTCTTGTGCATCCTGGGGAGGGTCCCCAGGATGTTCTGTGTGTTTCGCTGTAGCATGCCGATGGATTCCCCACGGCGGCGTCCTGGATGCAGCTGGCGCGAGGGGCAAGAGAACAGCGCCTCAGCCACGCGCAGAGGGGGTCGTCAGGCGTCTTCGTCGGTTCTCGGCGGTGTTCCAGCGTCGGGATGCGTTCCAGCAGCTGCGCCTCGCTCGGAGCGTTCCGGGGGTGCCCGGATCGTCCCGAACGGCCGCCGGAGGCCCGAGCTATGCCCCGAAAGCCACACTCGCCCACACGCAGAGGAGTGTAGGGGTAGGGGTAGGGGGGAAGGCTTCTCAGAAACACCACTACTTCTCCGAAGGCGTGGGGGTCTTGCCTGCAGATGGCAGGGCCGGCGCTTTCTCCTTCTCCCCTCCCCCATGCCCCCCTGTCTAGGCCTCCTAGATGGGGTCGGAGTAGACGGGGTCGGATGATCGCGCCGCATCGCCGATGCATCGCCGATGCGGCTCGATGTGGAGCCCGATTTGCTTCACGTCCACGTCGCCGATGCATCGCCGACGTCGACGATGCGTCGCCGATGCATCCCCGACGTCGACGATGCGTCGCCAGTGGATCGCCGATACATCGCCGATGCATTGCCGACGCATCGGCGATGCGGCGCGATCCTCCGACCCCATCTACTCCGACCCCCTCTAGGAGGCCTCTACCATGTGCGTTTTGCGCCTGCACCTCCCTCCGCTGCAGGCGTTGTGTCCCAGGTTCCCTGGGCTCCGGAGGAGGAGGAGGAGGCGGAGGAGGAGGAGGATGGGAGGAGGGAGGGGGAGGGGGAGGGGGAGAGGAGGAGGAGGAGGAGGAGGAGGAGAGGAGGAGGAGGAGGAGGAGGAGGAGGAGGAGGAGGAGGAGGAGGCGGAGGCGGAGGCGGAGGCGGAGGAGGAGGAGGAGGAGGAGGAGGAGGAGGAGGAGGAGGAGGAGGAGGAGGAGGGAGGAGGAGGAGGAGGAGGAGGAGGAGGAGGAGGAGGAGGACCAGAGTGAACTGAAGATTAGTAGTGCTCGCAAGGAACATCCCCTCCCGTCCCATGTTCCCTCCTCATAAGTACTTACACGTGATCCCTGGCAGAACTTGGGTAGCCCTTTGCGTGCGCGCGATCGCTTGTTGAATGAGACCCCTGGCTGTCGCCGATCAGCCAGGGAGCTACGGCGCGGCCCGCGGCGTTCCGGAGCGGCGGACCGGCCGACGCCCGCGAGGGGCGCGCCCGACGCAGACATCCGACGCCGTGGCAAAATCAATGCGACGGTTTTTGACGTCATTGGCCTCGGGAGGCCGCCCCCTGGTCGGAGCGGGCATCCAATGGAGCGACAATTGCAATAGCGTTGGCGGGGGGTTCGAAATGTCCGTTCGTGTCCCCTCCTCTTGGGCCCCTCTTGGACCCCTCTGGGGGCCCTCTTCGGTGGGGTGCCCTTGGGCCGTCTTTCGGACCCAGGGCGGTCTTGGAGCCCTTGCGCGTGAGGAGACATGTCGAGTGCTGGCCGCATGGTATCATTTGACAGGGAGTCGCGAAACAAGCTCAGGGGCGCTCTTAAAATGAGCGCGGCGCTAACGTAAGAACCCCACTTTGAAAAGGAACTGGCTTCGATCCATGGAATGGCTGGGCAGTTCGAAGACGAAGTGCGCGGCGCTAAGGCGAGAGCCACATTTGAAAAGGTACGAGCCTCGATCCGTGTAATTGTTGGAAATTTAGAAGACGAGTGTGCGCGGCGCTCAGGCGAGAGCCACAGTGTGAAAGGGAACCGGCCTCGATCCGTGTAACTGTTGCAACGTCGAAGACGAATGTGCGCGGCGCTAAGGCGAGAGCCACATTTTGAAATGGAACCGGCTTCGATCCTTGTAACTGTTGGAAATTTCGAAGACGAATGTGCGCGGCGCTAAAGCGAGAGCCACATTTTGAAAAGGAACCGGCCTCCTGTGCGCGGCGCTAAGGCGAGAGTCACTTTTGGAAAGCAACCCGCCCTCCATCCTTGTAACTGTTGGAAGTTTCGAAGACGAATGTGCGCGGCGCTAAGGCGAGCCACATTTTGAAAACCACCCGCCCTCCATCCTTGTAACTGTTGGAAATTTCGAAGACGAATGTGCGCGGCGCTAAGGCGAGAGCCACATTTTGAAAACCACCCGCCCTCCATCCTTGCAGTTGTTGCAAATTTGAAGCTTGGCGGTCCTAAATTGCAAGGAAGTCTCAAGCGAAACGCCCGGCTGGCCTACAAACACGCCTGGGAACTGAGACAGGGAGGAGTTACTCATAAGGAGAAGGGATGGAGGAGGAGGAGGAGGAGGAGGAGGAGGAGGAGGAGGAGGAGGAGGAGGAGGAGGAGGAGAGGAGGAGGAGGAGGAGGAGGAGGAGGAGGAGGAGGAGGAGGATGGGAGGATGGGAGGGGGAGGAGGAGGAGACCTTGGCGTGGATGTCAAGACAAGAAATCAGCCCTGTGCCCGCCGCCGAGCACCCGCTTCGGATGGGGGTGCCCTCGTGGTCTTCGCGCCTCGGGCGATCCATCCGCGCGCGAGGGCTCCCTGCTCCGAGCGTGCTCCGCCGCCCGCGCCCCCCCTCGCGCTCCGCGCCCTCCCCTCGTCCTGCGGTGCTCCCACTCGGCCCCGTGGCGTCCCGCGGCTGCCCTCGACCGCGGCGCGGCTCTGCGCCGCTGCGGCC